GATGTAGTTCGCGGCCCCGCCGGCCGTTGGCTCCGCGGGGCCCGGGTTTGCCTCTGCCCGGCGCGGGCGCGGAAGGGGCAGGGCTGGTCCAAAGGACCGTTGCTCTCCTCAGGCCGGAACACTTCGCCCTCTCTCTGTCACTGCTCTGCCCTCCCAGGGAGCACGTCGCACTTTAACATTAGAACTGTTTTTAAAGCACCTAAATGTGCTGAGGAAAAAGTATTTAATTTCCCTGAAGGAATGTGTCAAACACGATCCTGAGAAAAACAGGAGGCAGTAACAATACAAGAAGCATTTGTTGCCATGGCTGGTTTTTTTCAGTTTTATGTAAATATGGCTTTTCAGTCACACAGATGCACTTGCGTACGGCTGGCTGGCATACGCTAAGGTGCCCATCTCGGTATTCAGCATTATACCTGCTGGCCTCGGGCAGGCACAAGCTGCTGCGTCTCCTGTCCCTGCAGCAGGCCGCTGTAATTTTGAGAGAGTCTCCTGCAGCGGGTGCAGGTTGGATCTGGGGAGAGGTTAAGCCCCCACTGCCTTCAGGCACCGGATTTCCACGGGCAAGTCGGGCACCTCGTCTCTGTCAGTGGTCTCTTCACCAAGGCCAGATCTTGTGGGTTTAAAACAAGAAGTTGCCTGCCTTCGTTGAGTGTGGGAGGTCTCTTAGAGGGCAAAATCTGGCCATTTTGCATCACTCCCAAAGCTGGTAATGCCATTAATGTGTTAGTTTTTAATTTGAATGTGGTAACTGATTTTGCCAGGAATATATAATGAGATCATTTCTCTGGTTGATATGGCGGCAGTGATAAACCTCTTCGCTGCACAAATATCTGTGAAACACAAATGTAGGTTTCCAGTCGCCGCCTTCTGCCACATGGCATTGAAGTTTGAAGTCTCCTATTGCTGTCATGACCTTTCCCTGTTTTTGTAAAAGTTGGAAGACTGAAAGGCATGGGGAGGAAGAAAAGGATGATGGCATGGCAAAGACTGTCTTTAGGTTTCCCCTTGGAAAACTGGAGTTCTTTCTGCCTCTGCATTCATATGGGATGCCAACCAGGCCATCAGACTATCTTGGCGGCATCTGTGGAAGGTTTGATGTAGCCTTGGAAATGTCACTGGTGGAAGGGACTAATGAAGTCAAGGAGGGCTGTGCTCTGAGCACCAAGTGCAGTCTAGTGGCCAGTACTCTGAAATGGCACCGAAGATCGGTTTGCACAGTAAATACACACAATGAGCGCACTTCTTCAGCGTAGACTTCCAGAACCCGAACTGTACCTGTGAGGATAAAGTGAGTTTCTTGGTAATGCAGCGTTAGATACTGTTACAGCAGTTGTCTGTCAATATACTTGGTGTATGTCAGTATGTTTAAGCAGGTAGGTTTTCTGATTAACTTTTCTGTTTTTAATCTTTTTTATTTTGAATGCAGATTTTATGTGTTCCTAATTGCTTTGGTTGGTTTTATCTGGATTTAAACACTTTGCATAGACTTCTACTGCCATAGCAAGACTGACTTTAATTTCTAGGTAGAGAAGATACAAAATTTCCTCCGCTCTTCAGTACTCGGAGAAAATTAGTCACGTTTTAATCCAGAAAACAGAGCAAAGGACGGCAGCGTTAGTGAGACCCAGGCCTGTGTGAAGAGATGTCTCCCTTTCTCACCCGTAACGTTCATTTGATGCAGTGACGCGAACTACATCTCCCGTCAGGCCTCGCTCCCCCCCGTGCGGCACCGCTTGCCGCATGGGCGCGCGTTGCACCACGGGAGTTGTAGTCCGTTTGAGCCTCGCCGTCCCCGGTGGCGGCGCTCCGGAAGCGATTGGGCGGCCCCGGGGTGAATGAGGGCGTGTTGATTTCCGGGAGACGGCGCTGATGGAGGCTCCGGAGCAGTGAAGTGTCTGAAACGGTCCGGCGGCCGCCACCATGTTCGGCTGCCTGGTGGCGGGCAGAAAAAAGAGCGCGGCCGGGTGTGCGGGCGGGGTCCTCAACCCACTCGGGGCTGGGGCGGAGCTGCCGCGGTGCCACCCCGTGGGGCTTGCCCTTCCCCTCGCCGAGCTCCACCCGGGGCTCGCCCCAGGCAGAGGGGACTTCGCCGCCCTCGTCACGCTTGCCCGGTGCCTCGGCTGGCTGCTGCCCCTCATCGCCAGAGGCAACTGCATTGTAAAGCCTCGTTGCCGGGAGGCAGTTGCCATCCCCCCCCTTA